AGGTATAAATGTTAGGACCGTTTTGTTTTGTCGGTCAAGACGCAATATAGTGCGTGACCGGGTTTAGGATAGATATCCATACTATTAAAAGGGGAACTCTCATGGTGAATACGGTTATGTAGTGCCACTAGGTGAATTAACTCCATGCGTTTGCATTAGGATCTAGTGAGTGCTAACAACCCTTGAAAATATTTATGAAAAATGCTAACTCACGTACACAAGTGTTGAAAACATTATGGAGTTAACACATTTGCACAAGGGTTGAAGTGTTGGAAGATTTGGAGTAGCTCTAGGTACATCGGATGCTGTTGGCATTGGCATCATTGAACAAATGGTCATTGCGTCCGATGGCTAACCCTTGGTGCTCGGGCGATAGCAGAGTGCATCGGACGATGTCACTATAGACATTGGACAAACAAGTTTGTGTCCGATGTGTTTTGGGCACTCTGTCTCGCAAAATAATTCTTTAGACAACTTTCGGCGAAGACATGGGACAAATGGCATCATCTGTTCTATGTGACTAAGGAGTGTCTGATGTCACTGTTCACGCAAGTGGCTTGTGTTTCACTTGTGCGTCGAACGTTGGGGCTTTGTCCGATGTGAACCATCGGACATGTCCGATGTGTTTTGAGCGGCTCTGGATGCTCTCTAGAACATATCGGACATTGGTGATGTTTTGTCCAATGTGACATCGGACAATAGGGCGTGGAGCTAGCTGCTAGGCGCCAACGGCTATATTCAAATAGCTAGTACACGTGTCATCGGGTGATACGTCGGACACTATAGACTTTTGTTCGATGTGAACAGTGCAATGTCCGATGCTCCCGAAATAGCTACAGTAATGGTGGCCAACGGCTCCTTGAGGCTTGGGGCCTCTATAAATATGTGTTGGCTGACTTAGGTTCAACCTCTTTGACATTTTCATCAGTGATATATCCTTGTGAGCTAAGCCAAATATCTCCCACTCATCTCCTTCATTTATTCATCATCCAAGTGAGATTGGGAGTGATCCTAGTTGCATTTGCTTAGAGTTTGAGCATCTAGTGGCACTAGAGATTGTGTGAGCTGCAGGAATTCTTGTTACTCTTAGTGGTTGTTGCCGCCTAGATAGCTTGGAGCAACGAGCGGTGATCGTTGAGCGGAGGGTGGTGATTGTCTCTAGCTCTAATTGATGATTTGTGAGGCTCAGGAGATTCACAAAAGGCAATTCTAGTGGATTGCTCGTGACATTGAGCATCATCTCTTGTGTTGGTTCTTACAATGCCCAAGTGTTGGGCTAAGCATGTGATTCCTATTAGCACGTGAGCCACCAAGTGAGTGTGTCTTCACAATGAGGACGTAGATTGCCGGCAAGTAATTGAACCTTGGGGTTAAATCATTGTGTCTACTTGGTATTCTTGTGGCTAATTTGTCTCATGCCGGCTTGGTATATCACTCCTACACTTGCTATTTACATTATTAGTTCTTATCTTGTGTAGAGCTTGTTGCTAGTTTTGCTAGTTGTAATTGGTTGTAATAATTAGTTTCTTCACTAGCTCACTAGTTGTAGTAGTAGCAACTTCGCTAGTTAACTTGTTTGTGTGACATAGAGATCATAGCAACTAGCTTATGGTAGGTGACTTGCATTTCACCTGTGTAGAGCTGGAGCAAAACCGCTATATCACCTTATTGTTGTCTAACAATTCGCTCTAGTGAATTTATAGATTTTTAATTAGATTATTCATCCCTCTAGCTATTTAGGACCTTTCAATAGCTACAATTTGAAGATAACGTTCGTCTCCATCCGACTTTATGTGAAAAAGTTATGAATTATTTTTTGACGCAACTATCAAAAATGGGAAAAGGAAAAAAATAGATGCACCATAAATTTTAATATTTCTATATGTATTAGATCAAAGTTTAAAATATTTAACTACTTGAGAATTGAAAATAATATTATTGGGACAAGGGAGTATTTGCTAGTTGTTTTCAATTAAATTTTCTTATGTATTTCTATATTTAAGTTTTTGAGTAAGTTGTTTAGCTATAAAATAATCTCTAAAAAATAAAAAAAATCTGAATTCATGATTGAAAAAGTAGTATTTTGTCATCTATTTATTTCTATATATATGCTTAGGTGAAACCCAAAGTTTGTTAACAAAGCACATGCTAAAAAAATTAGTTTAAATTTAAAAATAAATCTAAAATAATTCAAAACAAGTTTAATGATTCTAAATTTACTTTCAAATTGAAACTTAATTTTGAGCATGTTTCTTGTTTAGAAACTTTAGATTTCACCTAAGCATATACTTAGCAAAAAGAAAACAAATAAAGTGGATTTTCCTAACTATAAGCCACTATGATTCTATCTTCTCACTACTTAAATACAACTTATCAAAATTTGTGATGTAAAATACTCTCTGCCCTTGAATAAATAGATTCGTAGCAAGTTTAGGAGAGATTAGTATGACAAAGAAAAGATCATCCTACCCTTAATTAACTAAAGTAGTTGCACACTGATAGGTGATTGTTCTAATATCACACTAATTGTAGCATTTACTACACACATTCAAATGCAGAAACTCAACACTGGACTGGGAGATGGAGGGGAGTGCAGTAAATGCCAAAAGACTTTGAGGAAAATAAATAAGCTAGTGAACCATTTAACCTCGTAGAGATTGATTTATTTATAGACAAATTCTTGAACTAGTAATCTATTTATTCAAGGATAGATAGAGTACATACTATTTTTTATCTAGATACCAGTAAAAGAAACCAATCATAGAAAATACTCTCTATCCCAAAAAAGTGACGTTCTAGGATTAAGTTCGTGTCTAAAAAAGAGTGGTGTTTTAGCATCTAGTAGTAGGTCTCATCTCCTCCGTCTTATCCACTTCTCCTCTCCCATCTCCTCTACTTGTCCTTCCTAGTGCCCATCTTTGCTCGAACTTCCTGGTGCTCATCTTCATCCCCACCACCGGCGTCCGCCCCCCACCCCCAAGGTGGTGTCCATCTCCTCTTCCACCACCGGTGGAGCCCCCACCTCTTTCTCTCCAATGGTGGGATCCGATGCCTTCACTCCTTTGCCGAGATTTGACACCCTCCCTCCTCTTTCTCCATCAGTGGTCCACCCTCCCCTTCTTCTACATCGTCGCCCCACCTCCTCTTGTCTGCCATCGACGAGGGCTGATGCAGCCTCGAGCTAGAGATGCTACCACCCTGGAAGAGGCTCATGCGCCAGCATGGAGGAGCACTCGTCCGAGCACAGGGGTCGGCGAGGCGGGCACGACCCACGCGCCAGCGAGGGGGAGGTACGCTTGCCTAGGTCAATGAGGCCACGCCCGCACCGGCCATGGGGCACTCTTGCCTAGGTCGATGAGGAAGCGAGTGCGGCCTCACGCCCAGGTCGACGAGGCTACGGGCGCGGCTCACGCGCCAGCGAGGTGGAGGAGGCGCCTCACCTAGGACGATGAGGCCGCCGGCATGGCCCATGCGCTGGTGAGGGGGAGGTGCACTCGCCTAGGTCAACGAGGCCATGGCGGGTGCACCGACGACCACTGCTATGAGGAGTTCCTCAATGGATCTGGATGGAGAAAAGAGAAGCGAAGGAGAGAGAACACAGTAATGATAGAGGTATTTTTGTCTTTTCTCTTTGGTCTTGGTAGACGCGTCGAGTCCTATATTGTCATTTAATTTGGGACGGAGGGGCTATGTGCGTGCTGCTGCTGCTGCTTCTCGGTACTGACGCCTTCTGCCGCACAACTAGCTTGCCCTGGAATATTGATTGCCCTATGGGCAATGATAACACCCACGTGGATAATGCCTGTACCATGTGGCGATCTTGTGTTCGCAATCCATGCCGATATGTACTTACCTATTATCCCTAGAACACCGATTGGACTCCTATGGCCTCCCGGTCAATTGGCACATAAATTTGCAAATTTATTACTATGGCTTCTAGATCTGTAATTAATGATTAAAATATTTTTTAAAAAAAATCATCACACATTACCCCGAAAGAATACGTTACAGTTACTTTCTATTTGTATGTAATAAAGCTTGATCCGTTTCATAGCTGAGGTAGGATTTAATTTTTCCAATAAGAGAGAAAATGATGGATCACTTTCCTGCCACTCCCACACAATGAAGACTTAGGGTCTATATGATGCATTAGTGCTAATTGTTAGTAGCTAAAAATTAACACTAGTATATACAAGCACCCTAACTAATAGTTCAAAATAGACTATCTAGCTAATAAAAAGATATTATCTTTAGCTTCCCTAAGCTAAGTACTAATACTATTTCTATCTTTAAATATAGTGGATTTTCAATTGCCCTAAGCCAAACCATGCTAAGTTTGATCGACCGTAGAAAAGGACAATAATATTGACAATATCAAATAAACTTTATTACATATATGATGAAATATATTTTCATAATTTATCTTTTTGATCCGCTAGATGTTATTACTCTTCTCAATAAACTTAGTTAAATTTAGAATGGTTACTTAAATAAAATAACTAAAAATCCATTATATCGAGGGAGAAACTCTAAAAATATAAGATCCAAACATGATTCAACTAATAGATTAATTAATACAGTAGCTTTGTTAATAAAAAACTATTGGTTAGTTTCCATTTGATACTGCTACTAATATAATAGCATTAAAGGATCTAAATAGGACCTTTGGTCAAATTGACGACAAAGTGTTGGTTACATATACTAACTTTGTGAAGTTTGAGACGTAATTCACAGCAAGATTTCCAATCAAAAGATGGAAAAAGATGTTCGGCCAAACAAAACCCGCCCAAAACCTGTATTTTTATTGTAAAAAGAAAAAGAAAAAAAGCAAATAAAGAAACCCTCACGACTGACTAGGAGGAGTTCTTCCACATCCAGCCCTTGGCTCGCAGTACACCACAGCGGACCCAGATCTCAACGTGCCCCTTCTCTCAGATCTCAATTCCCAGATGCCCTCGCCGTCGTAGCTGCACCCCGACCCCGCGCGCTCGCTCGGATCCATGGGCGGGCTCAGGGCAGCATCGCCGTCAGGCGCAGGATCCGGAGCCGTCGCGGGGGCGGGATCCGATCACGGGGCGCCGCGACTGGCGATGGCGTGTGTGCTGGCGTCAGAGGCCGCCACGGTGCTCGCCGTCATGCGCCGCAACGTCCGCTGGGCGGGCGTCCGCTACGGCGGCGGCGACGGCGGCGCGGGCGACGACGAGCACCTTGATCACCCGCTCGTCGCGGGTCTCAAGGCTCTCCGCCGCCGCGCTGCCGCGTGGGGCCACGGTCGCTGGGCGGGCGTCGAGCCGCTCCTCTACCTCCGACCCTTCCTCGATGTCGTCCGCTCCGACGAGACTGGGGCGCCCATCACGGGCGCTGCGCTCTCGTCGTTGCACAAGATCCTCACCCTTGACCTCGTCGGGCCCGGCGCACCAGGCGCCGCCGAGGCCATGGCCGCCGTCGTCGACGCCGTCACGGCCTGCCGCTTTGAGGTCACCGACCCGGCGTCCGAGGAGGCCGTCCTGGCAAGGGTCCTGCAAGTGCTGCTCGCCTGCGTGCGCAGCCGTGCAGCACCGGCGCTTGCCAACCGCCACGTCTGCACGATCGTCAACACATGTTTCCGCGTCGTGCAGCAGGCTGGAACCAAGGGGGAGCTACTGCAGCGTGTCTCCCGCCAGACAATGCAGGAGGTTATACGAACTGTCTTTGCCCGCCTGCCGGACATAGATGTCACTGTGTTGTCCGAGGAGCAGGTATGGAGCATTGTTATACTCGCTATTACTTTGCTGTGGATGAACATGGAAAATGTTGCGATACCATTCCTCGCTCAGCATAATAACTCAACTTTCTCCTACTATGCTTATGTACATTGGTCTGAAGTGTAAACAAGTGAAATGATCTAGGTTTTTTTTTGTCCTTAGTTTTAACTAATTGTTGTCATTTGAACAATATGACCACGTTGGAATTACTGACAGTCTGACACTAAGATCAGCTCTTGTTAGTTTGGAACCAAGCTTTTGTTAGTAGGAACTTGGATGGCTCATATCTTCCTATACTAAATGAATTTTATTAATTTGCTGGTAGCATTTGTTATGCAGGTTGCTGGTGGCAAGAACCAATGTTTGGGTGCTGAGGAGACAGAGAACGGGAAGAGTGACTATGTATGTTTGAATAGCTCTGGCGATGAGGTGGGAAATGGTTCTGGTGTTGTGCAAGACAAAGACTTGATGGAGCCCTTTGGGGTTCCTTGTATGGTAGAGATATTGCAATTCTTGTGCTCCCTCTTGAACATAGCAGAAGACATTGAGGTGAACCCAAGGATGAATCCAATTGACTTTGATGAGGATGTGCCGCTTTTTGCTCTGGGGTTGATTAATTCGGCTATTGAGTTGTCGGCTTCGTCTATACACAGACATCAAAAACTTTTAGCATTTGTACAGGATGAATTGTTCCGCAATCTAATGCATTTTGGCTTGTCAATGAGCCCCCTGATCCTGTCGACAGTGTGCAGCATTGTTTTTACTCTCTTTTACCATCTGCGCCATGAACTTAAGCTGCAAATAGAGGCTTTCTTCTCATGTGTTATCCTAAGATTAGCACAGAGTAGATATGGAGCAAGTTATCAGCAGCAAGAAGTTGCCCTTGAGGCTCTAATTGATTTTTGCCGGCAGAAAGAGTTTATGGCTGAGATGTATGCAAATATGGACTGTGATTTACAGTGCTCAAATATTTTTGAAGAGTTAGCTAACCTTCTGTCTAAGAGCGCATTTCCTGTGAACAGTCCTTTGTCAGCTTTAAATGTGCTTGCTTTGGATGGTTTGGTTGCTGTCATTCAGGCAATGGCACAGCGGACTGATAATGCACCGCAACATCATGAGCAAACAGTGCCAGAAATAAGTGAATATTTTCCTTTCTGGCAGTTGAAGTGTGAGAGCAGTAATGATCCTGATCAGTGGGTTAAATTTGTCCACCAGCAGAAAAGCATCAAGAGAAAGCTAATGGTTGGTGTTGAACATTTTAATAGGGACAAAAAGAAGGGTTTTGAGTACCTACAAGGCGTTCATCTTTTGCCTGAAAAACTTGATCCACACAATGTTGCTCTGTTCTTTAGGTACACACCTGGGTTGGACAAGAATCTTCTTGGGGAGTACCTGGGTAATCACGATGAATTCTCTATTCAGGTCCTTCATGAATTTGCTAGAACCTTTGACTTCAAGGATATGAATTTGGATGCTGCCTTAAGGCTCTTCTTGGAAACTTTCCGGCTGCCTGGTGAGTCACAGAAGATACAGAGAATTCTTGAGGCCTTTTCTGAGCGATATTATGAACAGTCACCACAAATGTTTGTTAATAGAGATGCAGCTCTGGTGTTATCATATTCTGTAATCTTGCTCAATACTGATCAGCACAATGTAAGGGTTAAGAAGAAGATGACTGAGGAAGACTTTATTAGGAACAATCGCCGTATAAATGGAGGAAATGATCTGCCAAGAGAATTCTTGTCAGAGCTTTATTATTCTATTTGCCGGAATGAAATCAAAACTATTCCTGAGCAGGGAGCTGGGTGTTCTGAGATGTCTTTCAGTCGCTGGGTTGATCTAATGTGGAGGTCAAAGAGAACATCAATGTACATTGCTTGTGACTCCTACCCTTTTCTTGATCATGACATGTTTTCTGTTATGGCCGGACCAACAGTTGCTGCTGTTTCTGTCGGTTTTTGATAATGTTGAGCATGAAGAGGTTCTTACAGGGTGCATTGATGGCTTTCTGTCAGTGGCGAAATTGGCTGCGTTCTATCATCTTGATGATGTTCTGAATGATCTTGTTGTGGCACTATCTAAGTTCACCACTTTGTTGAACACTTCCTACATTGATGATCCTGTAACAGCTTTCGGGGAGGATACCAAGGCTAGAATGGCAACAGAAGCTGTTTTCACTATAGCAACTGCTTATGGTGATCACATACACAGCGGATGGCGGAACATAATAGATTGTATTTTAAGATTGCATAAGATAGGACTTCTTCCTGGTCGCCTCACTGGTGATACAGCTGATGATCAGGAATCCTCTTCAGAGTCATTACCCGGCAAACTTACTTCATCTGCTCCTCAAGTTTTGCCAATTATCACTCCTCGGAAAACTTATGGACTGATGGGGAGGTTCAGCCAACTACTGTACTTAGATGCTGAGGAACCAAGGTCCCAACCAACTGAGGAGCAACTTGCTGCTCAGAGGAATGCTTCAAAGACTGTAAAGAAGTGCCAAATAGGTACCATCTTCACTGAGAGCAAATTCTTGCAAGCTGATTCGCTCTCAAATTTGGCAAGAGCCCTCATTCAGGCAGCAGGCAGACCTCAGAAAATCACCAGCTCACTTGATGATGAAGGCGTAGCTGTCTTCTGCTTAGAGCTTCTAATTATTGTCACATTAAACAACAGAGACAGGATTGTTCTTTTGTGGCAGGATGTTTTTGAGCACATAACCCATATTGTCCAGTCCACGGTGATGCCCTGCAACCTAGTGGAGAAGGCTGTTTTTGGACTCCTGCACATCTGTCAGAGGTTGCTTCCCTATAAGGCGAACTTGGTAGATGATTTGCTGAGGTCATTGCAGCTTATTTTAAAACTTGATGCCCGTGTAGCTGATGCTTACTGTGAGAACATTACCTTGGAGGTCACACGGCTTGTCAAGGCCAATGCAACCCATATCAAATCCCAGATGGGTTGGCGGACTATCATTTCCTTGCTCTGCATCACGGCACGCCATCCTGATGCTTCTGATGCAGGATTTGAAGCCCTGGTTTTTATCATGTCAGAAGGAGCACACCTCTCACCTGCCCACTTCATCCTTTCAGTGGAGGCATCAAGGCAGTTTGCAGAATCTCGGCTTGGGTCTGCAGAAAGATCTATCCATGCTTTGAACCTAATGGCAGACTCAGTTAACTGCCTTCTGCGATGGTCACGAGAGGTTAGAGAAGCTGGTGGAGAGGCAGACAGAATATTGGAAGGAATTGCTGAGATGTGGCTGCGGCTAGTGCAGGCTCTACGCAAGGTGTGCGTGGATCAAAGGGAAGAAGTGAGGAACCATGCGTTGTTATCGTTGCACAGATGCTTGGTAGTTGATGGAATATCAGTTAAGTCTTCAACATGGTTGATGGCATTTGACATTATTTTCCAGTTGCTTGACGAACTGTTGGAGATTGCTCAGAGCTACTCACCAAAGGATTTCAGAAACATGGAGGTGTCTCTCTTGCATGCTGTAAAACTGTTATGCAAGGTGTTCTTGCAGTCACTTAAAGACCTCTCAGGACAGGGCAGTTTTGATAAGCTGTGGTTGGAGGTCCTTGACATGATAGAGAAGTTAATGAAAGTCAAAGTGAGAGGGAGGAGGACTGAGAAGCTACAAGAGGCTATCCCAGAGTTAGTCAAGAACATACTGATGGTGATGAAAGCGAGTGGGATCCTGTCAAAAACAGGTGCAAGTGAAAACAGTTTCTGGGAAGCAACATGGCTTCAAGTTAACAAGATTGCGCCCTCTCTACAATCAGAAATTTTTCCTGACAATGAGGATGGAAGCACAACTCAAGTTGAAGAAAACAAATTGGATACACAAGCGCAATCTGACCAGAACAATGATCAATAGGACATTATACGTTCTCCCATCCAATCAAGTTAGTTGCAGCTGGATCCTTTCAACTTTTTGTTCCAAAACCATACACAGATGCTTGGCAGTTCTGTATGTGCCATTAGGAAGAGTAAGATGGTATATTGTAATTTTCTTAGTTTATATATATAATTTTGTTATTGACAAGGTTGTTGCTTTGGGCTTTATTGTTGCAACAGCAAAGTTGTATGATAAATATACTGTGTTACCGGCCTTGGAGAATCAAAGCTTTTGGCTGTTTATATTGTTATGATCCCGGCACCTGTGTACTGTACTACTGGGGAAAATTGTTTATAACAGTAGGTGTGAGGGTTTCCCCTTGCCATTATCTGGTGTTTCAAGGTGTCCAATATGAACGTGCTCTTCAGTTATTTCATATATGGGTGATATGCTGGATTGCTGGTTCATATGAATTTATTCACCTGTGAATGTGAAAGAGCTCAATAAAGATGCCCTTGTTTTCCTTTATTTATTAAAGGCCAGGCAGGAAGGACAAGCAGCTGAGAGCATGCATGCTTCCTTGGTCCTGCTGCATTCTTTTGTTCTTTTGCTTTATGTACCTCCTTCCTTGTTTAATTTCTATTCATAATAATGTTTCATAGGCTCAAATGGACATGCAGTGCTGTTGTCAAAATGTGCAAACATGTTTTTTTTTTCTTACTGAAATTCAACTTATTTTCAGATTAAAATTTCAGAGTGGCAAGTTCTGAACAAATCAGATTTGGTTTGTAAACTCAAGGAAATCGCGTACCTTTTCAGATTCAGTTTGCAGAATTGGAAGGGTCTATTTATTCTGTGGAAAGTCTTGCAGATAGGAATTATGGTTTAATTTATTCAGTATGCTAATATTCATCCATTAGTACGTAATCTAGAAGTATTTTGTTTTCGTTCCTCATGGCTGTGTACATTAAAGCTTGTTTATGCTCTTTGGAATATTAGGACTGTAGCTTGACCGCAGAACTTAAAAAATGAAATGTGCATGATCTAATCGAAGGCTTTCTTAACTGAAAACTATGCATTACAAAAAAGGTAACATTTCACATTGTTGAAAACTTCCAAATATGTGCATAATGCAGATAACTAAGAACCAAAAGCTGTTAATCCTTCCCTTATATAAAAAAAAAATGAGAGGAACCAAAAGAGTTTTGTGAAAAATGTATACATGGAGCCGCTGTGATGAAATCATTTTGGATTACTCTTATTTACTGCAATATATGAATGTACTTGGAAGCAAAGCTCGTATGGCATGTTCGTTTCAACGTGTGTCTGCAGTACTCCTAATGATCCTAGAAATCTAGCTGTTAAGTCTTTATTTCATTATTTGAAGGCCAAAAATTGTTCTTTGGCTCATTGTGGTTCAGCTGTCAAAACGAAATTCAATGTTTATGGACTGATGAATTGCCAGATACATGTTTGTCGCAACCTGATTCGTGCCAATTCTTGGGTAACATGCATGAACATATAGAGCTTTTATTTGTGATGTGCTTCTTATCTGGATTAGCTTTGTCGGACCATGTAAGGTACTGAAGTAAGCAAACTTTGTTGCACAGACTTGACATTGGATTTAACATTGAACCGACATTTGATCATTCCTTCTTTCCTGTACATACAAGAAATTGAAAGATGCACATGTTTCGCTGTTCTTAGCAAAAGGTTATCCAGTGATGAATTAGCTGAAAGCGATGCGCAACTCATATGCCATAGATTCTGGCAATGAAGTATCAGAACTTGTAAGTTAAAATTCATTTCGTCAACTAGACCCTTTTTCATGAGTCCTGTAAAGCCATTGACAGTATAAGCATACTACCTCTGTTCTCATTACTAAAACAAGCTGGGCCGCAGCAAAGCCGCTTGCTGACAAACCATAGACAGATGTGTGGTAAGCTTATTGGCTGCAATTCCACGATTCAGATGATTTGACCTTGTAACAAAACCATGTGACTATGTGAGGTTTGTGCAATCACGAGTTATGGAGGTGATCATTAGATTGACTTTTCGTGCTCTTGCAACCCACCCACCTTTACGTTGACTAGCGCGCGCGCGGCCGACCTCATTTTGCCGCTCTCCCGGCCTCACCTCAAGCGTCTCCGCGACCGTGGGCGGCCGGGAAACTTGCGGGGGGCGCCTGTTATGCTTGCGCGCGCACGCACACAGCAGCACGGGCCGCACCCTTGCTGCTATACGCTATCCGCCGCGTACGCTACACGTGAGCGACGCCGGCCGCGCGCGGCTACGGACAAGGACAACGGCGTCCTCCGCTCCGCTGAACACTACCTTGCTGCACTGCGATGCTACAAACAGACCAACCTTTCATCTTTACGAAACAATAGTACATAAGTATATGCTACATACACTCATCCTATGGACGCACCTAATCTGGTCAGCCCTACTAGAATCTGAAATGCCTGGCAAAGTAATTTAGAAAATTGACCAAGTTGATTTGATACAAGTCTTTTCTCGCGTGATAAAGAAGTCCACCGATCATAGCTTATGCATAGGACATTAGGATTCATCGTGACTGCTCTAAGTCGTAGGCAGCGTTAGACGTTCTTAATACCCACTAGCTTAAAGAATTCAGGGGTCAGATGTACGAGACGTCGATGACAAGCCTCGACGCGCCGTTCTGTTTTCACAGCGCGCGCGAATCGTACGTCCGTTCACACTTCATCTGCATGTTCGTTGCACGCAGCTAACCATAGCATGTGTATAGCACAGTCGTAAAGGAACAATAATACGTCTGTGATGATTGATTTCCATGATCCGAAGATTCAATAACGTCTAGAGCGTTTAATCGGTCCGCCGGCCGTCCAGTTTTTTAAATTGCTTGTGCCCGCTACCTCCCTTTTGTTAAGTGAAACAAATGAACGGGATGTCCGTATGACTCAAAAGTGAGGGGCCGGGTGAATTGGAGTTAACACTAATCAAGGTTCCAAGTACAACGGTGATCTAAGATAAATCTAATCAACGCTATCTAAATGTGCAGATAAGTTTTATCTAGTGTTTCACCCACCTATAAACTAAGTTTTTGTTTTGCTCGCAAAAAAACACTAAGTTTTGCAACTAGAGTCAATTGTATCACTAACCTATATCAAGCTACTCTAGAAAAAGTAAAAGCACACAATGAGTGAGGAGCAAGGAATATACATATTTTTGCTAAGAGGATATGTTAAACTCAAAATTATTCATTAGATCCTTTTTAACAATGTCAATTAGGTATCATAACTAAGTGGATCCTAGCTGTTCAATTCTTTGATAACTAATAAGGTCATCATTTGCTAAAGACAAATGATCACTATGGGTCAAGACTTGTGATGATCAAGAGACACAAACTCTTAGCATAAAGATCTATCCCATGGTATTTTGGTGGGAAATGCACCACCATCTGTCCATGCTGAAGTTCCACAAAGACTCTAGTCGAAGTCGAGTGAGCAACTTACTATAAAATTTGGTCATTTTGAAGTCTCTTCCAGTTAACATGATGTTGTATTCATTATAGAGCTTCTTCACTAAGGATGGGCTCTCCTCGTCCTAAGAGAAAGCCCTGTCTCTGCTCCACACCAAGTCGGAGGGTCGAAGATGCCGATGAGCCAAAAACCCTAAGGAGCAAATGCACCTCACGTACAAATGGGCTTCACTCCTTAAACCATCAACAACTGGAGCTCACTTTCTTCTAGACCTATAACACTAATCCCTCACCCACTCACTCACACTTGTGCTAATCATCTTGATGATCACTCTTAGTACTTTGGTATCTTGCTTCTTCTCAAATGTATATGCCTTCTTATAGGAGCTGTACCAACCTCAAATAGCACCACGGCACTACCAGATTGGTGGTGTTCTCCTAGTGCCATGAACACTCAGGGTACGGCTGAAAGCACACGGGAATTAGCTTCTCTGAGCACACGTACTCGGAAAATCATCCGTCGGAGGCCTTTATTTGGGAAATTTCAGATGCGCCGAGTGCCTTTTGTTTGTTTGATCGGAGAATTCTGAATTCCCTGTGCATGATCTGTTTACTCGGGGGTGGGAAATCATCACTCAAAAAGGTAGATATTGACGGCAGTTTCATTAACGGCTAAGTTCACCTAGTATTTTCTTGTCACTTCGGCACTCAAGTGTTTTGATCACTTTAGCACTTGGAAATCACATTCACCAAATGCAATCACAAGGCTCCACGCGCACATTCACCAAGTTCCGAGTCATGTGTATCTTTTCGAGAGAAGTTTAGGACCACAAGGGATTTATTCCGTGTGTTTGTTACGAATGCTCGGACAACCCCACCGCACAGGAAGAAATTGCAAATTCTAGTGGTGTGGAAGGGGTATAAATAGCTTCATTGACAAAAACTAGTTGTTGCGCTAATGGTTACATTTTTTTATACTCAAAAGTAAAAGCATCAAATTTTCCTCGTGAACACCAAAATATCTGAACACTGGATAACCCTAGGCTAAAAGATATATTAACACCTGAATTGCCTATGAGTTTCTTTTTTAGAAATGGCACAATGTGCGGTACGCACATATAGCAACCCAATGACAAAGGATATAAGCCATTACAAATGTCATCTTTTCATATTGCATCCTTAGAATCTATGATGAGGCCTGTAAATCACATAATTGAGAAACACGTTAAACATAATATCTTACGTCGCTCAATTATCAAAATCATGAAGCATGACTTACTCAGGCTACGTTTGCTACACTTAGGGCCTGTTTAAATTATCTCCTCTAAACTTTAGAGATCTAAAAACTTTAGAGCACTTTAGCTCAGTTTTGAGCTCTAAAGCTCTATAGTAAGGTGGACTAAAATTTAGAGCTAACTCTAAACCACCTGTTTAGAGACTTAATTTAGCTCTAGCTCTAAAGTATAGAGGCCTAAATTTTAGAGGGGTGAATCCGAACAGGCCCTTAGCCAAAGGACACTGGTGAGGTTTTGCGCGATGCAAATTTATACAGCATAAAAAAAACGAACGTTGACAT